GAAGTGCTATTGAGCCAGGTGTGGTGGAGCAGGCCTATAATCCTAGCAGCTCAAGAGGCTGAGGCAGGAGGATTGCAGATTTAAGGCCAGCGTCGGCAACTTAGCAAGGCCCTAAGCAACTTAGTGAGACCCTGTCTCAAAAAATAAAAAATGGCTATTGGTGTAGCTCAGTGGTAGTGCCCTTGGGTTCAATCCCAGGTACCAAAAAAAAAAAAAAAAAAATGCTACTGAAAGCACAGACAGTGCATGACTAATATGATTCTGCAACCTGTACACTCAGAAAAATGAGAAATTATATCCCATCTGATTCAAATGTATGGTATATCAAAGTCATTGTACTGTCATGTATAACTAATTTAAACAAATTAAAAAAAGAAAAGAAAAAGAAAGTGCAGACAGGAAGGCTGCAGGAGGAATTCTGAACTTCCAAGAATCTGCTCTTCCATAAAAGCAGTGAGAACACTAGTGAAACTGTCAAAATCAACTGTTTTTTAGTAAATTTTGAAATTTCAGTTTCAAGTTTCTCTGGAAATCCATGAAGGCTTGTAAAGACCTGAGGAGTGTTTATTTAAGAAAAATGGCTTCCTCTCACTAAGATAGCGAACATCATGGCATTTAAACTTGCCTCTAGCTCCACAGAAAACCGACAGCCACTTGTGCCTACGTGTCTAGCAAGAGGCCAACGAGGGTGGAGGCCAGGGGCCTGTCTACTCCCTCAGACACCCGGGTGGACCCAGCTCCACCACTTACTTACCAGCTTCCCAAACTCAGCCAATGCCCTGCTTTCTGCCTCTCCTGTCTGTGAGGGTAAACAATGACAGGACCTAGCCCAGGGCGCTGGAGGAGCAGAGGAGGGTCAGGTGCAAGAACGTGCCTACCACACGGGGAGGCCACACTGGTGGAGCTGCCCACTTGGATCATTATGGGCTCATCTATGGAGACCAGAAACTCTTGGATGTATTATAAACCCCAGCTTCTACATCCTGTAGATTTTTAATGCATCTCTCCCTTGTCTTTTCCTAGAACACTCTTATTTCAAGGCCCTTAAATATTTGTTCAACAGATAATGACTTCTGGATTTGACAAATTTTTACATAGGAAATTTCTGATCATATGATTATCACTTATATGGATCCAGCAAGTAAATGTCCATGGCTGACCTTACCTGGCACTGAAAGCTGTTCTTTTAAGAGGGGAGAATATTTATCTTAAAATAGGTCTTCTCAAATAGCACAGAAAGTCCTTCCACCTCCACTTAGAGCCACTGGTGGGCCAGACACGAGGAATCTCACCTTAACATGCCATAAGAAAACCTGAGTCATTTGGGGTGAGAACCCTGGAACCAGGCTCCTGAGCCTGTGAATCTACCGCCTGCCCCCTGGTAACAATGCACATGTTCACTGTAAAAATAAAGTACCTTACCTAACACATTCCTTCACAGTGCTACACAAGGTGCTTTTGACCCCTTCAACAGTTGTCACTGTCCATTCTCTTGTGTATATTTTCAAGGTCATCTAATGATGATTTTATTTCTCTGGAGGTTTATATAGGTCTGGGGCCTTGTGGACCAAGAGAGTTTATGAAGCATCTTAGAAAATAATGAAAATAGCTGTCCTTGAAAGGCCACCTTTTCTCCTCCTGCCTGGAGCCTCCTGGCAGCGTCTGACCTGCTTAGGTCTCTCCCACCTCAAGTCAAACCAAACCAAACCAAAATGCTCATTTAGCTACCTGTTCTCCCGTCCAGCAGGTAGCCATGCTGTGGGAAGAGCAGTACATACTTATTAGCACCGTATGTTCACTTCCCACCTGCTCCGCAGTTCACTCCAGTGTGCCTATGCCCATCAATCCACAGAAACGCACAGCCCTTGACCTCCACGCCACCACATCCAGCATCCTGTTTTCACTTCTCTCACTTGACAAATCTGCAGCCCAGGGCCCTGTTGGCCTCTTTCCAAGCCTCTCGCACACTTCCTCATTCCCTGTACCCCCCGCAGTTCCTATGCTAACAAAGAGGGTGTAACTTTCCACACCTTTCTGCTACACAGATGCATAGCACATCTATAACTCACAGGTTTGTGGGTTTATATGTTTGCTTTTTCTTAACTGTTCACATTGTTTTAGGATTTCCTTTTTCATTTCATATTATATCCCAGATGATCTATAAAAACAAGAGATATGTTTCTAGCTCAATGATTTTTAAACTTTTGTATACAAATGAGTCTATACTCAGACATCAATGAGTTTTAACACATTAAAGTCATTACAGATTTGGAAATTAGAAAGAAAACCTAGATTGTGCACTGGGGTCCTCTTGAGAGTTTCCAGTGGAGCAGGACCAGTCATGGTGGATGTGCAGATGTTCAGATTTCAGCTCAGCGTGAGGCAAAGGGAGCATAACTGACCCTGGCCTCTGGCTCCCCTGGAGAGCCACATCACTAAGCAGCTAACTGAAAACATTTTGTTATCTCTGTTTCAGGTCTAGATATTACATTAAAAAACATATTTTGCATTGGTAAGCAAAATGAAGTGTGACTCTAATGTCCTGACACTAATTCTGATGTCTCCTTCATTGTTGTCACATTGAGAGGTGACAACAGTACTACTGCTTAAATGGTTCTTGAAAATTTTCCTTTAGCCTAAACATCTGTTTAAGCATTTATTTTTCCCTCCATTTCCAATAGACGGTTATAAAAGTATTGCCTGCTCTGGTAAAAGCTGAATAAAACCCAGTCCCTACTGATTGGCTACTTTGCTGACCCTCTACAGTGCACTGTGAGGAACCTTTGTGAGACACAGCCCACCATCTGCTGAACCTGAGTTGCGGTTCCAAACAACAGATCCTTTCTTGAGTCTTCCCAACTATACCTCTTCTAGGAATCTTCCAAAAATTCTACTTACCACAACAAATGTTTTCAAACATTAATCTCTTTTTTTAAAAAAATATTTTTTTAGTTGTAGATGGACATAATATCTTTATTTATTTTTATGTGGTGCTGAGGAATCAAACCCAGTGCCTGACACAAGTGAGGCAGGTGCTCTACCACTGAGCTATAGCCCCAGCCCAAACATTAACCTCTTAAAATGAAAATACCTGCAGAGTAGCAGCAAGTCCAGAGAACTGAAGGAAGACCTTGCTCTCTGATTGTGTAGAGCAGATTATAGTTGCTTTCACAGGGAAATTTCCACAAAACAGAATTCCCATCACTAACTAGAAAAGTTGTACCAACGAAATTTCCCGTACAATACAAAAACAAAGGATCAATATGACAATAAAACCCAGAGCAAACAGAAAAGCCAAAAAGGATAACACGGAAAGAGGGAAAAGCAGACCTGGGGGTGACCTCCGGACACAATGACAAAGAGCTACTGAATCCAGCCATTAAAACATTAACTGAAAGCGCTGACAGCCAGGCCCAAGGCAGTGTCTTCTGTGGTTAGCAGTGGCCTGGGCGAGATGGCCAGCCAGGTCTACCTTAAGGGGTGGCCACAGTGGTCCTCAGGTACAGAAGCCTGTTTTTTTATAGTCTGCGGCTAAGAATGATCTTTATATTTTCAATATTTGGAAAAAAAAAGTAATGACATGAAAATTATGACATTCTAGTTTTAGTATCCACAAACAGTTCTGTGGGAACACAGCCATGTTCCCCTGACAGAGGCAGTACCAGAGACTGAACCTGCACGGGTGGCCTGCCAAGCCTGAGAGGCTTCCTATCCTCCCCTTTCAAAGAAAGTCTGCGACCCCTGTTCTAAATCAGATTCCACCGCCATTTGCATTCTGTGTGACCTCGGGCTGGTCTCTCCTTAGGAGGGGATGATGGCCAGGTCCCCTCTGCAGCTCGGGTTCAGAGCTGTGCCACTGGGCAGGAGGAGTGAGCAGGAGTGCCCACTGGTGCCACCTGCAGTCCAGGATGGAGATGGCATGCAGGAGGCGGCCTGTGAGTCGCTGGGTGGATCTCAGCAGGCCTCCTGTGGGGGCTCCTATATAACTATCGCACACAACTGATGCCATCATGAACAAAACCTTGGCTGTCACCCACTTTTTAAACTGACAGACCTCAACTTCCAACAAATACATTTTCCCACATCCACATTTATAGTGAATACTCCCCGACAACAGAAGAACCTTCCAGTGTTCACTTCAGGCTTCACTGAAGGAAAGCAAGTCACATACCCACTCCACAACAAGGAGGACAATGAGTCAGCTCTTTCTGGGTCTCCGAAGGGAAAACAAGGCCCAACCTGTCATCTGAGGATCCAGACAGCTCTGGGGAGTGGCCTTTCCAACACCTCACGGGCTGCGCACATCAGCTTCTGTGCATTAGGCAGGAGGGTTTTCCACAGTGAGAAAATCCACTCCCAAAGAATGAAAATAACTGAGTGGGGTTGTTGATTCTGCTGGCTCTGAACCCAACCCAGGACAGCTCAGCCCAGAGCTTCTCACCATGAGCCACTGTCCCCAGCTTCCCATCCAGGGAGATGGGTGGAGGCTTATGGTGAAGAGCTTTTATGAGATCCAAAGGACGTGCAGCTTGCATCTCTGCTCTCTGCAGGTGTGGTAGGGCCTGCAAACACAGCCACCTGTGCTGCCACCCGGGGCCCTCCTGCTGCCCCCTCCATTGCAAGGTAGAGTCTGCTTCCTTTCCAGCTGGGGCCGGGCTTGCTGTGTGCTTCCGCAGAATGCACAAGCGCGATTCTGAGACCACTGAGCCCAGAGAGGACCAGAAGGGCTCACTTCTTCCCTGGTGGAACCCAGCCTGACTGGACCACTGAGTGACAGCTAGCACTGGAGAGACACCTCAGAGGCGAGGGCCAGCCTGAACATCGGAGGCAGCCATGTAGGACCCTACGTGAGCCACCCAGCTGGACCTCAGCCACCCCACAGGACTGAGGACAACAGGGTAGAAGTGGAAACTTCAGTTCTGAGCAACTGTTCAAGGCAAGGAAGACCCAGGATAGTTTGGTATGAGTTTTCTACATGGTGAAAAGAGTCTCCAACTTACTTCATCATCATCATCTTCATCATCATCAGACTCAAGAACGCCATCAAGCAGCTCTTCTATAGGGGAAAAAAAATTTGCACATATATATATATTATATGAAAAAATATCAACGAACAGCCACAAACAGTGGGCGACTTGGCCAACACAATCCTTCAGGCGCCACAGAGACCAGTGAGCACCATCAGGAGAATCAGTGCTGGGCTCAACCATTTCTCACCATGATCATTTCAGACACCGTTTGACATTGTCCTCAGAGATTTTAAATAGATCTCTCCATTTTTACCAGAACATATTTAGAGTAGCAAGAGGAAAATCCCAAGCCAGCACATAATTTGAGGGACCTTCAGGGAAGGGAAGTAAACTAATATTTACCACCAGGCATGGCAGCGGGCACCCCGACACTGAATCCTCACAACCCCTTACAGCAAGAGGTGGAGGCACAGAGGGGAAGTAGAAACCGCATCTCCTTCTGTGTACAGGTGGGGTGGTGGCTGTGGCAGGGAGGTTCCCAGAGGCGCACTGCTACATCTTTAGTGTTCACAAACAAGCCTGGATTCATAGCGTAACTGAGCCAGAGAAAGAATGGACCATTTTACCATATGTAAAATGGGGATCCTACCACCTCCTTCTTAGGTGAAGCATCTGGCCCAGATACACAGCAGGCATTACACAGATGCAGGTTCCCTCCTCCACGATGCCTTCCCTGGTGCCCTCACTGAGCCCGTCATCTCTCCCTCCCTGAACATGACCTGCGTTTCACCTGGAACTCCTGCCAGCACTCACCCTGTGGATGATCCTGCCTCCTAATGAATGGAGGGCTACTGACTGCAGGTGTCCTCTGCCCCTACTCTACTGGGTCGTGAGTATCTGGGGATGGAGCACCTGACTTCCTCCTCCCTGCGCTCCTGCTGCACCTTCCTTGTTAGCACTGGTTTGGTGAAAGTAAAGAAAGCCTGAGAAAAGAAAGGAAGTCAAAAAGAAGGAAGGAGAAAGAAGGCGTCAAAGGCCATACTTAGAGTTGGCCTTAGCACGGGGCCTGACAGAGGCACCTACATTAATCAAGCACCAAGCCACGGCCTAGGAGGGCGTCCCCAACGTCCTGACAGCCTCACTTACTCAAAGTGAGGTCTCTGCTGACCTCACTGGTCTGTGGCCAGCAGGACACCAAAGCTGTCCCCACCTTGATGAGGTTTGCATGTCTCTACACCCATCCAAGCCACACCACTGTCACAGAATGCCAGTGAGTTCAGAAAGCTACTTTGCGGACATAAATCTGTTAAGTCATTCTGCATTTTGGCTGAACTTAATTATCTAACTTCTCTTCCCTTCTCAGACACAGCATATTCCATTCCATCTGCAGGAAATGCCTTTCAAAATGGCGGTGCTTCTATGGTCACCAATTACAAACCCCTCAGGTTCTCTGTGGAAAAGTCAAGTAATCCAACACACTCCCTGCTCTCCTTCTTGGCCCAGCCTCTCTTCCCTAACCCACAATCTCTTCATCTATTGGCTCAGACTCTTCCCACCACCCAGAACAGGGCTGGTCCCATGTACTAGAAGACCTGGGTCCGGGCTCCTCCACCACTCACTCCTGAGTCGGTGCACAGCCACGCTGCCCTCCTCAGTACCGCTCTACTTTCTCCGGCCCGTGGACCAGGCTAGCACCGCTGTTTCTCTGCCCTGACTGGCTATAGTCTGCCAGCTCCCTTGCAGAGGGATGGAACTGTGGTCGGGCCCAAGCCAGGGATAAACCTCCATACTGCTGTTGGCTATAGCTCTGCTTGTCACTGTCACCAAGCTGGAATTTTCCTTTAGGCTTCACCAGACTGGTGTCTTCCCACCTATGGGGTTAGGCTCTTAGATACTCTAAAATATACCCACAACTTTGTACTTGAAGATCTTAAAACTTCACTGGAAAAATAGCACTGGTGGGCTGATAGCTACGGGCTCGAATGAATGAAAACCCACTCCTGTGCTTTTAAGTTTACGAAAATAAAACAAGGAAGTCTCTAAATAAAGATAATGTAATGTCATTTCATGATGGTGGTTGTTTTTCCTTGCAGTGCTAGGGATTGAACTCAGGGCCTCTGCATGCCAGGCAAGCACTCTACCGCTGGGACACACCGCCAGTCCTTCACATAACTTAAACTAGGAAGGTGGCCCCAATCCACACTCTGTTAGTTTCCATGTGAGTAGAAACACTGAGCAGAAGTTCTCTAGTTCCATTACTGTCTTGACTGGCTGCTGGTGGCACGTGTCATAAGGTGTGAGTGTGTGCTTTTGAATCTAGTTTCAAACTAGCAGACTCCTGGGTAGTCATTTCTGGGTTCTGCCTCCATAAAGAACAACTTGGATACTTTAGATGAAGAAAGAAATATTTTAGGTCCCTTATTTGAACAGGAACTTGCTGAACTTTTGGGTAGGTATTTCCCAAGCCTTCCAGAATCCCCAGGGCTATCCGGCTGTAGTTCTGTCCACGACAACTTCTTGCCAGAGTGGTTCCTCACAAAGATGTGAACTGTCTCCTGCCTCATGGCAGCCTGGCATGTTGAGCCAGAGCAGTTTTACATAAGGGAAAGTTGACTCTTATGCCAGGGAGCAAATGGAGCCTGCATCCTGCTTCTGGGCTTCCAGGAAGACTGGCAAGAAGATGGATGTGCGTTTGTCTCAACGACTCAAACACAGGCAGCCTGAAGAAGATTCCAACCCAAATGTGACCTTGAAGTTGCAGAGAACCCCTGGCCTGAGAGGGAGGACTTGGCGCCACTAATGACCAAGACCACCAAGAAGCAGACGGGCAACAACTACCCACCTCAGTGGCAGCCCACCCAGAGAAGGCGGGAAGCAACCTTAGCTGAGACTTGGGCAGGCTGGTTCACATTGTATCTGTTTCATCACACCAGCCTGGGCTCGGAGTCAGAACTGAAGTCCCTGGAGAAAATGAAGCTCTATTCTCTGCCCACCTGAATTTGGGATGAGTTATACCTGCTCCATAAGAACCAAAGAGGAGGACATTCAAACAGGACAGGCAGGTAACCCACAGTTCCCTGGCCACTCACTCCTGTGGCCTCTTCTCTGCCTGGCAGCAGGCTCCTCTTGGCTGCCCTGGTACCACCTGTCCCTCGAGGCCCTCTCTCTCCTGTGGGGATTCTAATTTAAATGGTGTGGGTGCAGCAAATCTGCCCAGGTGCTGTGAGGCTTGAACCGGGAGCAGAGACACAGCACCTGTGGGCTTCTGGCGTTTCCCTGGAGCTTGGCTCTGGTCAAGCAGTGACTTGTGAGGAGAAGGGAGACCCTGGTTTACCTTTTGCTCATGTTTACTTGCACTGCTAGGTGTCAGGGAAGGGCACACGGAGAGTCAGAGGGGACAAACTGCCCCCAATGCTGGCAGCACCAAGGGCCTCTGTTGAAGAGTCCACACCAAGAGCCAAGAGCTCCTCCCCCATCCCATCCAAGGCTCCCCTGGCCTTCCTCTCCTGCTTATTATGGGACATGTGGCTGTGGTAACAGAAGCAGCTCAACAGAAAGAGGACCTTGCTTCTAGATGAAAACCATACATCACCTGGAGTGAATGGATCACCAAGGGAGGCGTGTACTGTGCTATCTGACCCCAGGACCTGGGGAAGTCACCCTTTGGGGCAGAACTTAGGAGGGGAAAGGGAGAGGCCCATAAAGAGAACTTATAAGGTTAGGGAAGGGTTTCTGAAATTGCTTTTAACTTCGTTTTGTTGACTACAGGCCCTAAAGTATGATAAGAGACTGTTAATCTTTGGACACTCTGGCCTTGACTACTGGCTACACTGTGAGTTCACCTGGGCCTCCCCACTTCCCTAAAGGCCAATGACTTCCAAGGAACCCCGAGCCCAACATCCTTCTGACACATGCAAACAGTTCAAAAGCGAGGCGTAGGTTCTTGCATTAAACTGACCGGAATTGAGCTGCTTGATGATGAACTCTATCTGGCGGATCATCTCAGCATTGCCTTCTTTGATGAAGCAGCGCAGGATGTCTTCCATCCCCTAGAAGCACAATGCACACAATGCTTTAGTGTTTTCAGTAGGGCAGTTTCATCTCATCCAAAAAAGAATTTATCTTTTTTTGGGGGTAAGAAGATACATACAATAAAAATCCTCTGCTTACTACTAAATATTCTTTTTGTTCCTTTTATAAGTCACAGTGAGATTTTCTTCTTGGGTTGACTGTCTGACTTCAAAATAACTTTATAATGTATTTAGCTTAAAAACAATTGTAAAATTTCCCTGCATAGTACTGCCTTGAGTTTTGGCAATTTGTTGAGAGATGATTTCTTTCCTGTGTTTTCCTCTATTTATTCAATGCCTTCTGGATTTTAGGGCCAAATATGGCCTTCAAAAAGTGGAACATTTGTTTAGAGAAGTAAATGAACAAACAGAAACTCTTTAAACAGCCTTCATTCTTTTTCTATCATAAGAATTATAGTTACTATGCTACGTCATTATGTTATTGTAATTAAAAAAATATTTTTAGCTATGGATGGACATGATATCTTTATTTTATTCTATGTGTTCTGAGAATTGAACCCAGGGCCTCACAGGTGCTAAGCAAGCGCTCTACCACTGAGCTATGACCCTAGCCCCTATTGTAATATGTTTGACACTGGAATTTTCACATTGGCTAGCACAATCACAGGGAGTAGGTGAGTTGACTTGAACATGGTGTCTAATTCCTCTCCTTCCTCTTTCCCTGAAGGACGGGAGTTAAGCACACAACTGGAGCTGTTGAGGCTTTCTTGCCACCAAGACGGGGAAGCATATCTAATGATGAACCCAAAACAGAAGAAGCAGAGTGCAGAGGTGGTAGAGAGATGGATCTGATGCCATGCAAACCTGATCAGGTAGGCCAGTTTGGAATCAGAGAAGTGTCAAGAGCAGAAGAGGTTAAACTCTCATGACCCAATGAAGAGAACTGCTTCACAGAAAGGTTAAATCAGGATTATCATTTGGATGGTAATCCTAGCTCCTACGTGGATTAACTGTGTGACCTTACTCAAATTACTCAACTTCACTCAGCCTGTTTCTTCAATTATAAAACGAGGCTGCCCCTCAAGATGACAGGAGACTTAAAAGACCACGTATGTAACTGGGTATTAGTTATGTAGATGTATACATGTGTCGGGATGCACTGAGCCGAACGAGGAAGGCCTGAGCATCCACTGTTTGCCAGTCACACCTAAACGATGGCATCTCGTGCCGTGGCTGGCACCTATGTCTACTAGACAGGAGAGGCTGCCTGGCTGTGTCTGGAGGGCTAGTGGCTGGGGTGAAAGACCCGGCAGCTAAGTCAAGGGGATAACAGCAGAGTGGGAAGAGCAGAGGATTGGGACAGAGTGAGAGAACAATGACATTTCATTGGAAGATAGACGGGTAAGCTCACAGAGACCCTGAGAAAACAGTCTACAACGGGAGAAGGCCTTGAAGGAGTCTCTGGAATCAAGGACAGGGTGTTTCAAAGAGGACTGGGCAGCACTGTCCAGCTCCTGGGTGGCCAGCCAAAATACCTGTGTTTGTCTTACAAAGGGACAACCACCAACATCTGGCGTGGACCTTGGCTGAGAGGAGAGCTGACTTTGCTGTTTCTGTCTTATCAACTGGTCTCACTCTTACCGTCCATCCCCACTTCCCAGGGAAGGGCCAGAGAAGGGATACTGTAGGAGTGACAGCTCCATCAGCCCGACATGCCCAAGAGCAGAATCAAGCGCAAGTAGCTTGGGAATGGAAAGTCCTCAACCTGTGCCCCAGGAATGGGACAAAGAATCCATTCAGGCTTCTACCTTTTCTTCCCAGATGTTATGAGTGAGTATCTGCTCTTATCTTTATAGATCTTTTTATTTTCACTCACTCTCTTTCATATGGCTCTAACTCAGTTGTTACTTGGAAAACAAACAATAAATTCCTGTGTAATGAGGAGGATCACCTGGGGATGCTTTTTTAATAGGAAAGAGTCCAGTCAGAAATTGTACTTATTTTTTAAAACCACATATATTAGGTAATGTTTAATCTGAATTATAAAAATGAGAAGTCATAAAAATAACAGTATTTGACCCTGAAAGTAATAACTCATTTTGAAGATAATCCTGGCCTAATACAAACACTCAGGTTAGATGGAAAGGAGAATATCAGCCACATGTGAAAAGGAATTGCAGGCTGAATGGAAGCAAAGAGGGAACTCCCCCCAGAAGGTCAAGGTTAGGGTCATTGCAGGAAACAGGTGGAGTGGCCCTTATCTGAAATGCCTGGAGCTTCAGGGGTTTTGGCTTTGGGAACATCTGCATGCAAATAATGAGCTATCGTAGCCCCCCCCAGGCCCCCCCAGACCCTGTCTCAACACAAAATTCATTTATGCTTTGTCAATATCTCATACACATGCCATCAAGATGACTTCATACAATATTTTAAATAATTCTCTTTTTTTATAATATTTTTATTTTTTAGTTTTCGGTGGACACAACATCTTTGTTTGTATGTGGTGCTGAGGATCGAACCTGGGCCACACACATGCCAGGCGAGCGTGCTACTGCTTGAGCCACATCCCTAGCCCTATTTTAAATAATTCTGTGTGTGAAACAAAGTTTTATGATGTAGAATGTTCTACCTATATTTCATGTCTATGCTCCAAAAGTTTTAGAGTTTGGAATATTTAAGATTCTAGATTTTTGGATTAGAGATGCTCAATATGAAATAACACAGAAGACAATGTTTGTATTATAGAATTTAAGGAAGAAAAACATTTATCATATCTAGATTTTTCATTAAAGATGAGATTAGGGATAGGAGTCTAGAAAGAAATTGATATAGAAAGAGCACTTGCTGGGCTGGGGATGTGGCTCAAGCGGTAGCTTGCTCGCCTGGCATGCGTGCGGCCCGGGTTCGATCCTCAGCACCACATACAAACAAAGATGTTGTGTCCGCCAAAAATTAAAAAATAAATATTAAAAATTCTCTGTCTCTCTCTCTCTCTCTCTCTGTCTCTCTCTCTCTCTCTCCTCTCTCTTTAAAAAAAAAAAAAAAGAGCACTTGCCTATTATGTGTGAGAACCTGGGCTTGATCCCTAGCACGGGGGTGGGGGGGGTGGGTAGAAAAAGATTAAATTAGTTCTCATTTCTAAAGAAGCACTGCAGCCTGAGGTGTGGAAAGTTCTCAAAACAAACATGCATTGGCCCCTACACTAGCTGCGTGGCTCCAGGCCCAGAAATCTACCTCTTACATCAATGGGGACACAGCCACAGCCACTCCTCTAGGGGCTTTGAGGACTGAGTGGGCTAAAGCACCTTGCACAGAGGTAGACAGCGTGTACTGGACACCCACACAGCCCTCCAAATGATCCCACCTCTCCCTTATGCTCAGCAGTTCAGCTCTATACCACATTCTATTTTGTTCCAGCCCAAATAGTCTAATCTACCACTAAAGGTCTTCAAGAGAAACTTCCCTCTTGGAAACTCAAATATCTATTTTAGGTGAATAAAAACATTTTCCTCTAATTCTGAAAGTCATTCAGGTTTTCCACTAAAACTTATAAGCTACATAAAATAAACAGCCAGGGTACATGATGGAATTCAAGTGACTTGGGAGAATGAGACAGGAGGATCATTAAATTCAAGGCCAACTTCAGCAACTTAGCAAGAGCATGTCTCAAAATAAAAAATAAAAAAGGGCTGGGACCCAGATGCCTATCAATAGATGAATGGGTTAAGAAAAAATGGACTTTTACTCAGCCACAATGACTTTATGGATGTGAGGGCAATCTGGCTGCAACATCTGAAACTCCACTGACTGCCAGGGTTGATTCGGCTGATCCCACTGGCTAGGCGGGTGTCCCCTTCCTCCCCCACAAGCTGTGCACTCAGACAACCTTCCCTGATAAAGTAGAACTGATCTTCAGTCAAGAGTAGCTGCACTCCCCTGCTAGAACCTCCAAACGAGCTCTGGTGAATAATGACTTTATGACATTAGCTGGTAAATGGATGGAAATGGAGAACATCATGCTAAGTGAAATAAGCCAACTTCAGAAAATTAAAGGTCACATGTTACCGGGCACACACCTGTAATCCCAGCAGCTAGGAAGACTGAGATTGGAGGATTGTGAGTTCAAAGCCAGCCTTAGCAAAAGCAAGGCCCTAAGCAATTCAGTGAGACCCTGTCTGTTATAAATAAATGAATACAGTAAAGAAAAAAAAGGGGTATAACTTAGCAGTAAAGTATCCCTGGGGTCTAGCCCCATTAAAAAAAAAAGAATAAAATATTTCTCTGCATAGAGATAAAACTGAACATTCTGAAGTATTTCTTCTTTTATGGCTATTGTTTTACACAATTGAGATCATACTGTTATAATGCTGTTTTTTATTTTTAAATTTAACTTACTATTTTCTTGTGTCAATATAAAGCTCATAAAGTTTTAGTAGCTATAATAATAATAGCAGCTAAGATCACCTCTCAATGTTCACTCAGTGGCAGGCATAGTGTGTGAGCATTAGCTCTTTTGATTCTCACAATTCCATGTGTTTGGTGCTCCAGTAATTCCCATGGTGCCCAAAGACAACCAGGAAACGGCAGAGCAAGACTGGAACAGAGTTCAGAGCTGCCATCTGAGCTGGAGCCAGAGTCAGGACGCAGATTTCATAAAGACCCTTTCAGGGAAGACTATCCCACTCAAGGTTGATGGGCACCACAGAAAATGTAAAGGCCAAGATCCAGGATGGGGGAGGAACTCCTCCTGTTCAGCAAAACCTGACCTTAGCTGGTCAGCACAGGAAGGAGGACATACTTGGTCTGACTACAACATTCAAAAGGAGTCCACCTTTCATCTAATGCTGAGGCTGGTGGTGCCAAGAGGTCTTACCCCACTCCCAGGAAGAACAAACACAAGAGAAAGAACAATAAGTTGGCTTTCCTGAAATACCATAAGGGGGACGAAAACGGCCGACAGTTATCCACCTTTGCCAGGAGTGCCCTTCAGATGAATGTGGCACTGGAGATTTTATGGCGAACCACTTTGACAGACATTATTGTGGCAACTGTTGTCTGACTGATTAATTCAACTAACCAGAAGACCAATAATGTGTGACAACAACAGCAACAGAAAGACAGAACACAGCTCCGGCTGGGCGTGCCAGGGGACACCTCACCTCCCTGCCTGTTCTTACTCCTTCCCCAGCTCGTTCCCCCGAGTGCTGCCATTTAGGTCGTTCCCTGGTTTCTACTACAATCAATAACGCTGCAGTGAATATTTCAGTATATACTATCTGGTCATGGTGTATGTGAGCTCCAAAAGAATTACTGGGCAAAGAATATGAATGTTTTTGAGGATTTTATATATGTGTGTGTGTGTGTAGCCAAATTGCAAAGATGTTCTACCAACTAATCATCTCAGTCAAATTTCCACACTAATTTTGAAAGGCTTTTCCCTAAGGGCACCAAGGAATCTAGGTAGGAGGCTAGGCGGCCCCCTGAGGCGTACAACTGCTATGCTCCTAGCTGGAGAGTACCGTGGGACTAGCGACACCCCAGCCCTTGTTATTTTTTATGTTGAGACAGGGTCTTGCTAAGTTGCCCAGACTGACCTGGAACTTGTGATCCTCCTGCCTTAGTCTTCCAAGTAGCTGGGATTATTGATGTGCGCCTGGTTGAGAAGCAACTTTTAAACAGCTTCTCCACACTTATGCTTATTATATTAGTACCAAATACAATTTTACTGGTCTTACCATGTCACCAAAAGGAGAAAAAAAAGGGGGGGGGAGAAAAAGGCAAATGAGTCCCCTGAGGCCCCTGTAAGCTGGCTGAGTTGTGGAGTGGGAGAAGAGCTCAGATAAACAGGGCTGCCTGACACTCGGGCTCAGGCCTCGGGCAGCAAGGGCTCGATTACTAGGGCAGGGTATCAGCCAATGACTGGCATCCCAGCTTGCTTTGCAGTGAGGGTACTGGCACCCAGCCTAGATGCTGCCAAAAAATGTACCCAGGTGAAGCTTCTGAATTGGAAGCAGGCAATGTGAGAAAGTGGGCAGGAGGGAACACACATCCCCAGACCTCTGGGGAGAGTGGAGGAGAGTTCCTGGCATAGAGGCATGAGCTGTGGGCAGCCCATGGAGCACAAGGGCATTCCTTCAGGCTGGGTGCCCCCACGCCCAGTTCCCTGGTCTCCCAGAGGTTCTACAGCCTTCCTTCCTAGCACCACATCTGGTCTGCCCCAGCTCTGCAGAATGCTCACAGGGGCTGTGATCCCAGGGAAAGGGCTCATGGTGACAAGTACTCAGGCTTGGTGCTAATTGTACTTGGTACTAATATAATCTTATGCATGTGCTGTCATTTTCCATAAGCACACAAAGGTTTTACCCAGTTGCTAAAACAGAATTCTTATAATGACATGCTCTGCTTTAATTCCTCATGACGTAATAAAATTTTCATTCTGCCTCATCCTGCTTTTCCTAATTATCATCTTCTAAAGTTATTAACATCGTGAACAAAAGAACCACAATTTCATCAGCAATTATGGTAAAATTATGTTACTTCCAGGTTTTCAACATTGTAAAAATGTTAAAATGAGCATCACCCAGCACTGAATTCCTCTCTGCATCAACAACCGCAGGGAAATGAATGAGCCTGAGATGGGCACTGCAGTGGGTCTCACCTGTGGTGCGCAGCTGCTCTGCAGAAGGACTGTGTGACCCTCAGCTCAAACACCAGCAGGGCCCAAGGACATCAGTTCCGTCTCCCCTTCCCTGCATGAGCAGAGGGTACAGTGGGGAGGTTGTGGATAGCGTTTTTCTTGTCTTGTTCCTCTAGTGCTTAGCATTCCCAGCATCCCTCGCAGCTAAGGTGAAGGCAAGTGCACAGCTGAGACGCTGACCAGCAAATGCACCATGCAGCCTCATACCCAGTAAGAATGTCTGGCTTTATTTACCTAAAAACTCCCTCAAGGATAAAAGTGTAAAGAGGAAACCCGAGGATTTAAGAGAAACCTTACTGTGGCCATATCACCCTTTTGAGGCCACTTTACAAATCGTTCAATAGGCAACCGCCTGGGTGTTGTGTCTAAAAAGTTCCTCAGCTCAGGCTAACGGGGTGGGGGAGGCTGTGGGAGCTCATGACTCTGACCTCCATTCAAATGCCAGAGGAAGCCTACACTCAGACCTTTATCTGAGCAATTCAAGTTTTCTCTTAAAAGTCAAAAACTAAAGTGTTTGTTTTTCACCAAATTGCTTCATTATCATTCAATCTTTTTTCTGTGTCATTATCTCCCACTCTCCTCCTTCTGGGACTCCTGCTGGACAGATGTCAGAGCTGCTCATAGTGAACTCAGGACCCTGGGGCTCTGCTGCCGCATTTTTTCTCCCTGGCCTGATGATCTGCAGAATGCCCTGTTCTGCTGAGCTACACCTTGATGATCTCAGGGGATGTGGTCCCTGTCCCGACTGCACTCCCTCCCGTCATCCCCACCTTTGCTGGATGTTCTCAGGGCCTTGTGCATTCTAGGTATGCATTGTAATATTGAGCTACACCCCAGCCCTTGCCTTTTTTGATGCCACGACACCCCATCCTTTCCTCCTACATGCCATTTTCCTGTTCCTTCCTTGATTAACAATCTTTCTCTTTCACCTAAATGACCACAGAGAGGATTTAATCAAGCTTTTATTTCCTATTGAAAATGCAGAGTTTTTAATTTAAAAGTAGCAGGCGACTCAGTTCCACTGTTTGGTAAGCTGGTATAACTGTTTATGTGATTTAGAAAACCAAAACCAAGTAGGAGATTAAGCCATTCTAAGGAAGCAAAACCAACTGGGCGAATGTTCTGGTTTCAATCTGACATCATCCTGTGTTTTGAGTGGGGAAATACATGTAATCCCTTCACCGCAGCATATAATATACACATGGTTACCCTGGTTTCACATGGTACAAAGAAAAAGAACAAAACTTGAGTGGCTTTGCTTATTAGATCTTGAAACATTCACCTCTCCAAATAAGACACTAATCACCTGGTGCTGATTTCACTTGAGCATAAGCACTAATGCAAATACACTAAACTGGGAAATTGCTGTTTACCAACCAACTTGAGTACTGCACTTTTGCAATCTTTGCAGCTTGTCTGTTCCATTTGCAAAAATAAACTTGCTGGAAATTTCTTAACACTGTGGTTCTTAACCATTTAGAATTTAGGGATCCCCTTGAGATTCTGATAAAAGATATAAACTTTTCCCAGAAAACTTTCTTTTGTGTGTGGTGCTGGGGATTGAACCCAAGGCCTTGTGCATTTGAGTCAAGCACTCTACCAACTGAGCTATATCCCCAGCCCCTGCCCAGAAAACTGCAAATACATATTGTGCATGCCATTTCAGGGAGCATGGGACCTGTGTGAAGCCTGCCCGGCCCTGTGGAGGCAGTGCGTGCCCCAGCAGCTGGGCACGGGGCACTGACAGGCGCCCACAGCACTCGGCGCTCTCTCTTACCATTGCTCTTGCCTCCTCACGAATGGATGGAATAGAAAGGATACTGTACAGAGCTCCATTCACATATGGCTGTATCTTTAAGGGGAGAAAAAGACAGTCAATTGCAAGTTTTCAAATACTTCACAACTCAATTATCAAACACCACAGCTGGCTGAGGAGGACAGGGCGTCCATCTCTCCAGAGTTCAGGATGCATGTTCAAATAACAAACATCTCTATTTGTATGTTCTAGGGATCTCTACAACCAGGAGTCCAAAACCAAGGCCATCTCTCCGCCCAAGGCCTCCTCCTGCTATACTCCACTGCTTAAGTCATTTCTATCCTCCTGGTCACGGAGCCTGGGAACTTTAGAGTCGTCACGGATTGCTCGGAACCCCCTGGGTTTGGTCCTTGAAAGGACCCTTCTATTCCACATCTGTTGCTGCCGTCCTGTTCACACATCGCTGTCCATGGCCCAGCCTCCGTCAGACCTCCAGCCTCCACCCGACACCCACCCTTTAACCCAACCATCCTATCATCGCTGAAATTCTACAGCATGGGCTGATTGTTCCTGCCCCCACCTCGGGAGCCTTCCAAGCGCCCATGGCGAAGTCCTAGCTTCTTCCACACACTGTGTGTACACACACAGGCTCTTCCAGGGGCCGGTGCCCACACCACCTGCTCTGCTCTTCCCTCTGCGCTGCCCAGGGTGCCCACACTACTTGAAGGACCCCCGCCACATGTTCCTGGTGCACGCACCTCAGCCCTGGCTGCTGCAGTTCCCCTTATGGGAAAGCTCTTCCCACATGTCCATCTGGACAGCTGACTCTGCCTTTCACACCAAGCTCCGACAGAGATTCTAGGAAGCTCTTCCTGAAAGCTCTGCACATGGTGCTCACCTCTGCTCCCTGTTCAACCCTCTACTGCTCTCCTGAATTCTGTGACTTTTTTTTTTTTTTCTTGTACAGGAGATTGAACCCAGAAGCATTTTTAAAAATTTTAAATTCTGAGATAGGGGCTTGCTAAGTTGCCAAGGCTGGCCTTGAATTTGTGATCCTCCTGCCTCAGCCTCCCAAGTAGTTGGGATTAGAGGTGTGTACCACTGTGCCTGGAGACTCTGTGGGATTTTTTTTTTTTTTTTTTTAATATACAGGAAGTCTCTTCCTTTAGGACCTCTGAGGAGAGGACCATTCTTAAATCATACAGATAACACCAACATTAAATGAACACAGGACAGGTCACAGCTGGCTTGATGAGTGAGAGTCACCTGTTCTGTGGACTGTGTGCTGCTCTCTCCACAGCCAGAGAGAGGGCACACTGGCCACCACCCTTCCTAGCACTGGGGCGCTCTCTCTCTCTCTCTCTCTCTCTCTCTCTCTCTCTCTCGGTTCTGGGGATTCAACCTAGGGTGACTTTACAACTGAGCTACATCTTCAGTGCTTTTGAATCTCACTAAGTCGCTGCGGCTGATCCTGAACTTGTAGTCCTCCTGCTTCAGCCTCCCAAGTCCCTGGGATTTCAGGCGTGCACCACCGTGCTCAGCTAAGAGCTCAATGGTTTTTAAACATAAAATGCATGGCACAGACTTTAACAGCCCCTGAACTCCACCTGCTGAAGAAACCAGGTCCTCAGCAATGAAGCTGTGAGCCTAGGAGCTGTGGGTGAAAGGAGTGGCTGGAGCCATCTGCCTGAATGGGACGGACCAGGGGGAACCCAGGGCTCCCTCGTAACCCTGTGGTCTTGTTACTGTGTGCTGCTAACATACGCCCCTGCACCTGGTCCATGGAAAGAGGTCTGACTTTGGCTGCAGGTGAAAGGCAATGTTGTAGCTTGTACAAAGGCGGCTGCAAAAAACAAGAGAAGCATCACCTTTGCTGGCTTTTGTTGATTTGTCTTCCTACAGCCCTATTTCACTTAAAAAAAAGTTTATGGTTCATAAGCTTCGAAACTTGGAGGATACCACCAGGTGGGAGGGGATGCTGGTGAGAACAGCTGGTCCAGCTGTTGTAGAGGACAATCTGGGGGGACTCAGCCACAGCCTGGTGTATGCTGCGAGTCGGTGGTGAAAAGGGTCCACACCCTGGGGAAGCTCTGCGCAGGCTCTGGTGGGCAGGTGCCTCACTGAGGACAGCTGTGGCAGCAGAGCCGGAGACAACCCAGTGTCTACCCTTGGGGGACAGGTAACATAGAGGGGCGTGGCAGTGGAGAGACTAAGTGAACCAGGGGCATGTACAGGAGCCCAGGAAGGTCCCAGCAGCACAGGGACCTTCACACCACACAAGCTCCACACATGCAGGGTATGGCACAGATGCGGTATCATGTACTTTAAGGCCACATTTGTACCTACTACGGACAACGTTAATGCGAGCGCTGATACTGGGGGGAGATGAAGCCGAGAAAGACGATAAGGAGAAAAAGTGAGGTACAGCAAGGACCATCCCAAAACACGAGGACTTGGGGACACACTCCCTGCTCTGAGCTCCAAACTTTTAGATCATAAAAGATTTGAAGTCGTTCATAAAAATACCTGCAGGAGGGAGCATGTGTACACTTGTCAAATGCAACCACTGCTGCAGGCCAGCCCCTTGCCTGCAGGTTGCAGGCACGAGGGCCCAGTGTACCCCCACACCCGGGGCCAGCAGTACCTCGTGATTTTCGTGGCCAAGGAGATCCGAAAGGACTTTCAGCACCAGGCCTGCCACCTTGGCACACATGTTCTTCCCTGTGGGACCAAAACAAAACATGACGCATCTGAACTCGGAAGCACAGTTTCACGTAGGCAGACCTGAGTACAAGGCTGGCTGGTCTGTTTATGCTACGTTGTGATGGAAGGCAACACAGGCCTGAGTGTAAAAGGAAATCAGAACACTGTTGTGGAAAACTACAGTGCCTGGGAAAAGGACAGTCCCCTCTCGTTATGATCCCTACTTTTTGGATTGTAAATAACTACCTGCAGGAATCTACTTCCCTTTGAAGTGCTGCGGCTTAGCCCAAGGCTAGAGATTTATTGGAGGCCTGTGAGCCCCGTTTCCCACTCTGTTTCTGTAAACCTACTCCTGCTAGAAACTAGAAATTTTATGGCACCAGATAGTCTATTAACGTTGTGAGAAGCTGCAGATGGGGGCTCAGAATTTGGAGTGTGACCTCCTCTGGGACCACTGGCATAAAAATAAAGTTTGAGTTGTCCCACTCTCCAAATGCCCTTTGCCGCTTCTTAAAGGGTCTGATTCCAGCAACAATGTGACCATGGGCCTCAGTGTCCTCCTCTTTAAAACAGCAATTATCTACCTGAAAGGCTGATGGAGAATTCAGTGAAGTGGTGGACATGAAGGACTTAAGGTGGCGCGGAGCCCCCAGTGCACAGTAATGGGCTGTGGCTATTACTGAGTTGGCACAGACTGATCCCGAACCGTCTCCCTGAACAAGCAGGGAAACGGCTTATGATGCTCAGAGAACCTCCACCACCAGGAAGGGGTGAGAAAAGGATTAGGAGCAGGAAGCATGGTTAATGTCACTGCTCCTGCCACCAACTTAATCCTGGAGAATGCGGGCGCACAGTCCTCAGGCTTCAGAATAACGTAATGAAAACGAAGGGAAACACGAATGAATTCAGTCTCCTCTTCCTGTGCGAAGTGCATACATATAAACACTCTTTCGAAGGCCAGACCGTATTTTGGCCTTGGGGACTCAGCAGCTCTATACCTAGCTGGAAATACTTTAGGCTTGTCTTTTCCTTTTCTCTGAGGGAGACAAAAAGCAAGTGCCCTCCACCCCCACCCCGGGTCACCGGGAACCTGACTCTGGTCAGGATCTCTTCTCACACCCCCATACCAGAAAATACAGGATGGGGGAGACCTGCGCTGCGGAGGCAGAGGTTCATGAGCAAAGCCACGGCGTACTCCAGTGTGTAGTCAGACAGGCAATCCGGGTCCTTCAGAATGTCAATCAGCCAGAAGATGAGGCCGTCTCGAATCATCGCTGTCTGCAGAGGGCGCCTGGGACGAAAAGGCCTGAGGTGAATTAAAACTGGCCGCGGGGCTTGTCACACAGGAGATACAGCTCTGCGTCATAAAAGAAAGCCCACGGAAGATACAGACTCCGAGGCATTTTTATTATTATTATTATTAAGCTGGTACAAATGAAATAACAAAATCCTTTACTTTTAGGGATACGATGAAGCATTTAAAGGAAGAAGTAATAAGGAGGCCTCCTCCTTTGAAAGTTTCCTTTTCCATACTTAAAATTAGCAGAGTATTACCTCAATTTGTGTGTGTGTGTGTGTGTGTGTGTGTGACTATTGGGGATTGAACCCAGGGGTGCTTTACAACTGAGCTCTCTCTCCAGCCCCCAACTTTTTAAAATAATTTGAGATAGGGTCTCACTAAGTTACTGAGGGTCTCACTGAGTTGCTCAGGCTGTGATCCTGGCTGGGATTACAGGTATGCACCGATGTACCCAGCTTATTTCAAATATTTAATGAATATTCATCGACAGCTTTTGGTCTACTTAAATCAGGAAACAGGGCCATGATAACACTTCTTTGAAAAACAGATTTTTGTCTCAATCCTATATAAGGCAGCACAGGCACTTTGAGCTGAATGAAAATAAAAACAAAAAAGAGCAAGACCCAGCTCAACGGCATTCTGACTCGGATCTCTACAGACGAAGAGTGTGGCTTAATGACCCAGGAAACAGAAATTTCACCCAGCATCCAGGTGAAAGATTTTACAGAATCCAACACCTCCTCACAACATATAATGGTGGATGTCATCATGTTAGCCTTAAGAACAGACGTCACTAAGCACAGTGCCACCATGAGAAGCCAACAAACAGAATGATGTGAACATGTGAACACCAGAGAGCAGCCAGCACTTCCTCTCCTAATCAACCAGTTATGGTAAAATGACCACCCAGGAAGCAGGAGCAAGTAACTGTTCAGGCCATTCCTGTAGCCACACAGACCTGACCGGTGTGGCCTCTTGAAACACATGGAGACTGCTCTCTGGGCAAGCCCACTGCTTTCTACTTTTATTGCAGAGACCCTGGAAAGCTGCAAAAAACATTAGGCCCATTTCTGCATTACCAGAAAGAACTACTTCTTCACCCAATCTTTTATCTGTACTTAAGTTTCCTAAACATAGTCACCATGAAGCTAAGCTGCTGTGTAGATAAACAGGAGCAAAGTGTTCAGACAAACTGAGCAGGAATAACTGGACGAATCACTTGCAGCTCTTTTCAGTTCATGAGTTACTACAAGAAATTGCCACCGGCAGGGACCTGGATGACAGCAGACTGAGCCTGTCCCTTTCCCCGTGAAGCATGGACCGCTTAGATTACTTCACTCTGCAGGCTTCTGGTAATTAGGGAAAGTCAGTCCAATGTTAGCATCTGACGGGGAAAAGCATGTTCAGAAGAGGGTGGGCAAAAAGCTGGAGGTTCTAGAATTCTTCATAAAGTCAAAGATAAAATGAGGCAGTGCTGAGGGAAGCTGAACTCTGAAGATTTGCCATCTCCCTGGCAATTCCACTCCCAGAAGCCTCTCAAGGAAATGTAAATGCACCCTCAGGCTGGGACTCACAGGCCAATGTCCACAGTAGCACTTTGCAAAACAGATAAAACAATGAAAACGATTCACACATCCATTGACTGAGACACAAAATGGGGTCTCTCTATCAGATGGAGGGCTATTCTCCAGCAATAACAAGGAACAAAGCACTGACAAGGGCTAGGACAAGAAGGAACCGTGAAAACTTTACACTAAGTGAAAGACGCTGTCACAAAAGGTTACACATTATCTGATTCCACTCGTGAAACATTCAGGACAAGCCAGTCTACTGAAAGGAGTTTGGTGGTCACAAGGGCTGGGGCAGGAACAAGGACAAATGGTACAAGGTTTCTTTTCGTGGTCACAGAAATATTCTAAAATTAGGTTGTAGTGATGGCTGCGCACCTCAGCAAATCTGCTAAAAACCATTGACTTCCACACTTAATATGTGAATTTTATGGTAAAGAAAGTATATTTCAGGGGCTGGGGATGTGGCTCAAGCGGTAGCGCGCTCGCCTGGCATTCGTGCGGCCCGGGTTCGATCCTCAGCACCACATACAAACAGAGATGTTGTGTCCGCCGAAAACTAAAAAATAAATATTAAAATTCTCTCTCTCTCTCTCTTAAAAAAAAAAAGTATACTTCAATAAGCTCTCAATTTATAAAAACCTCTAGCAGGTGCCAGATCGGTTCAATAATACCTGATTTTTCAATTTCTGATGGGGAGCTTCCAAGTCACGGCAGGAGGGTTCTGGGACGGACACCCAGGGGCTACAACCCCATGGTGAGATGTGCGAGGAGAAAAGGCAGGGCCTGTGCTGTGAGCCACTGGTCTTCACAACTGGGGCAGCCAGAGAATGCTTTTGGCCACACTCCCTGTGTCCTCCCAGAGGCTGCCAATCACACAGAGGACCAGAGACAACTTGAAAGTATTCATGTTTGTCTCTAAACCTCGCATGTGGCCTGAGACATAATCCAACAATTCAGCACCTGGAGGGCACTAATGACCTACTGGATACCACTAATGTCCCCTGGAAAACACAGTGATACTTTCATTGTCACATGTGCCTCCATTCCCAGCAGACTTGTGTAGCAGCTTAGTGGAGGAGAGAGAAGCTTTCTATATCTGACTCGAAAAATCACCCAAACTCTCCTAAGTGTTCACAGAAAAAGTATTCCATTGATTCATGTGTCCACCCTCTAATATAACACTGTTTTTATATTGAAGCTACTTATGTATTAAGCTAGGCCTTAGGAAGAGTGATTTTTCCCATTTTGTTTTTCTTTCCTAAGATTGTTCTAATTAGAGGCCTGTGCCTTTCCATATAAATTCTGGAATAAGCTTATCTATGTTTTCAAAAGTAACCTTGCTGGGACTTTGACAAGAGTTGCATTAAACCAATAGGTCAATTTAGGGGAAAACTGATCCTACATTGAGTTTATAAGATTTTTTTTATTTGTTCCTTCTTCATTCCTGTAACTATCACCCTGAAGGAAATATTTGTTAATGCCTAAATTTCCTGACCAATCTTATAACTCAACTTTTGGAGTGTGGTCTTCTATTGTCCCCATTCAGCCTGCCTAGGGTTGCCAAAAAAAGGAAGCTCAAGCCCTCCTAAACCACATTACCCTCTTGTTAGGCAGTCTCAAATTGCTTTCTCCTCCAGACCCATGCCCAGATTTACCTTCTTGTTAAAATTCTCCAAACTTACATTTCTCATTCAGTCTTAATGTACCTAGATAATTCATGATTCTGGACTTTTCTTTCCCTAAACTTATAACCTAGCCAGGAATACCTCCCAAACTGTCCAACTATTTTGATCTTCTCCAAATTCAAGCTTACTCAATGCAAGAAATAATCCCCAAATAACCTAGCCATCTTGTACATGTTCATACACAGTAGCAGGCCTAGCATATCTGACATCCAGAGCAGGTCTTTTTTTTTTTTTTTTTTTTTTTTTTTAGTTGTAGATGGACACAATACCTTTATTTTATTTGTTTCTATTTTTATGTGGTGCTGGGGATAGAATCTAGTGCCTCATGCATGCTAGGCAAGCACTCTACCACTGAGCCACAACCCCAGTCCCCTGAAGCAGGTCATTTTTAATGCTACCCTCCACTACAGGACAGGACAGTATTTAGCCCAGTAGTAAGTGTATAATATGTATAGTAAAAATTGCCCTTGTTTTAAATTTTGTTTTTTAGTTTTAAAACAATTCATTTACAAAGAATGAAGTTATATTTAAAAGATACACCATCTGCCTCCCAGGTTATGGGAATTAAATAAGCACTAAATGGCAGCTTAAAAAACTCAGTCAGGCTCCCCAGGACCTCCCATGACCTATGGCATGATCATCACCTGAGACTGAACTTCTGCAGGGCCCCAAGAATATTTTCCCGGGTGATGACGTCCTTGTCCTCCTCCTTCAGCCTTCCCTCCAGCATCCGCAGCACCTTAGTGTTCTGGGCCAGGTAGAGGCGGCCTAACGATACCCCAGACAAACAGGGGAGAGAGGAAGAATTAATCTGGTGGGCTCCAAATCACTTGCTATGAAAACTTTGCATGTAACACAACAACTTTGCATATTAGATAATTTTTTGTTCTAAAAGAAATCATTAAAATGCATTTCTTCTAAGAGTTGTTTTATTCAATCAACTATGTAATGAGGAGAAATTACTCTTCACGATCGCCATGTTCCTGTGGGGAGCACTGTCTTCCATCTGCCTACAGTTCTGAACCCCATGGTGAGACGTGCGTGGAGAAAAGGCAGGGCCTGTGCTGTGAGCCACTGGTCTTTGCAACAGGGGCAGCCAAGGAACGCTTTTGGCCACACTCCATGTTCCTCGGCGCATCCAGGCTGGAGAAGAAGGTGGAAGCCATAGGGAGGATCCTAGAACTCGCCCTGAATGGGCACTACCTGTTGTGGACTTCTGTGCTGACAGACAGGTGTGATGTTTGGACACAAGCGTCCACAGTGCTATGGCACATCCCCAGACTATAATAAATGTCTGCTGAATGAATGCGATAATGAACAGATGAATGGATAATAAAATTTGGGAGCATCGTGTATCGATAATTTGAAAACTCTTTTTATTTCCATTAAAAACAGCTCAAACAAGTAAGAATTAATGGAAAATAACGGCCCTTTGCAAGATAATTTTTAATTCAGTTATGGTGGCATGTTATCTTTTAAATTCTCAAATCCTTTAATTTAAGAGATTATAGTCTATTGAAGGAAGTGGTACACTGCTTATTGGAATCAGCTTTCATTGCTTCACCAACCTTATTTTGCCTTAAGTAGAAAACTATAGAAAAAGCATAACCTGTTACATACTTGAAAGTAATCTAAATAGTATTGTTCTAGCCCAAAGTGATAAAACAAGAAGGGTTACAAAATCAGCTCTTTTGAAAGCAACAAAATTTGCTGACAGAGATTACAGAATGGGGCTGGGGCCCAGTGGTAGAGCACTTGCCTGGCATGTGTGAGGCACTGCGTTCAATTCTCAGCACCACATATAAACAAATAAATAAATAAATGTCCATCAATAACTAATAAAAATAAATTAAAGCACTATGACAAGAATGTTTAATTTTTACAGTAATAAAATGAGGAAAGATATTTCATCTTTAAGAAATGTGGGGAATACCTGCACAGAGCCGCTCTGCTCTGCTCTGCTCTGAGCTGTGCCTTACCTTCTGCTAGTGACGCCAAAGCGTTGACGAGCCTGGCCATGTACTGCCGCACCACCTCGCTCTTGGAGTGCAGCAACTGCAGCACGCTCCTCTGTGGGGGCGAAAGTGGAGAGGACGGGGGCTCCGTGAGGAGGAGGGCAAGGTGACAGCTGCCTCAGCAGCTCTGGTTGCTCCCTTCCTCTGTGTGGACTGACTGGAGGGGACAGACCAAAGCCAAACTTCTCTGGAAGTCTTGGTTTCAAATAACACCTGATGAGACTTGGCAAAAAGAATTTATCCAGACTTCTAAATTAGATGAATTAACCACGCAAAACACGCAGCACAGCCGCTGGCACACAGGAAGCGAGGCTGTTGGCTGTCACTATTGCTGAGCGTCACCAGGTCAAGGCATCTGAGCTGGCTTCCTCCAATCCACAGCAGGCTACAGGAAAAGGGTTTTCTAAATTAAGCTGGGTGTAGGGGTGGCCCCAGAGAAGCAGAAGGCTGAGGCAGGAGGATTGCAACTTAGTGAGACCCTGCTCAAAATAATCAATAAAAGGACTGGGGATGTAGCTCAGTGAGTGGTAAAGTGCCCCTGATTCAATCTCAACTACAAAAATAAATAAATAAATAATAGGATCTACATTAAGGACTGAACCAACAGAACGAAAAAGTCAACTCTACTCTGAAAGTGGCAATGCAGGCCTGGAACGCCAGACCCAAGGCCACAGTGGGCAAGGAGGAAGCACCCAAGTTCCACTGCGTACTCCCCAAAAGGCCAACGGACTCGGGGAACCAGACAAATGAGTGAAAGGTGTTAAAGAAGCAGCTGGATCCTCCAAGGGTGGTGCAGGGGCACGGGGGTGCTCTTATGTGAGGGTGGCACAGAGGGTCTCTGGACTGGGGGCAGTAGGCTCAGGTGGGCTGGGTTCTGCACCAACTGGAGGGGGGTGTCTAAATAAAGAATGAAAAAGCTGCCCCCCCACTTGGCTCCCAGACCCTGACCCTGGCGACCAGCCCCTTACCTCTCTGCAGGACACGAGAAGACTCTTCTCGGAGGAAAGTGACCACCCCAGGGGAAAGGACTCGAGACTGAAATCAGCGGCTCCCAGTCAATGGCCCACCCAGCTCTCCTCAGTGGAGCTGAGCCAGAGGAAAGGCTCTGACACGGAAAATGGAGCCAAAGAGGGGGCCGCCCTGGAGACCAGACTGTGCAGCGAGAGGAGAACCAAAACTAAATAAAAACTTTGTCACCAATACCTCAAGACACAAGAAACTGTACTGTATGCAGGAAAGAAGCAAATGCTCTGAGTTAACAAAAACTCAACAGGAACTATGGAAAATATAAACAAAGAAATCTCCTGGAAAGTGCAACAAAAAGAGAAAGATAGAAAATATGAGAGAAAAATTAACAAAACAACAGTTCAGAAGGGTTGACATTTAGGAAAAGAGAAAACAGAGGAAAAAAATCATCAACAAAATAAAGAAAATTCCCAGAAATAAAACTGTCAGATTCAAAGGGCCCACAACAAGGGACCAAAATGCACTTCATGAAGCACATCCAGGGGACTCTGAACTGTGGTGATAGAGAGAAGACTCACCATGCTCCCGTGTGCTTCTAGAGAGGAAAATAGGCCACATACAAAAGATCAGGAATCAGAATGGCTTTGGATTCTCAACAACAAAACTGGAACCCTGGGCTGGGGTGGTGGCTCAGTGGTAGAGCGCTTGCCTCACATGCATGAGGCACTGGGTTCAATCCTCAGCACCACATAAAAAATAAATAAATAAAATAAAGATTTAAAAAAAAATTGGACCCCTAAGCTTCTAGGACGGTGGTCCACATGCCTATAGTCCCATTAATAGGGAGGCTGAGGCAGGAGGATTGCAGTTCAAGGCCAGCCTCAGCAACTTAGCAAGACCCTATCTCAAAAATAAATACATAAATAAATTAAAAGGATTGGGAGTGTAGCTCAGTGGTAGGGCACCCTGGGTTCAATACCCAGTATACAAACAAAACAAAACAAAACTGGAACCCAAAGACAACAAAGTAATGTCTTCAAAATTCTTTTTTTTTTGGGGGGGGGGGGAAGTGAATCCAAGGGAAGTTTACCACTAAGCTACATTCCCAGCCCTTTATATTTTGAGACAGGTTCTAAGTTGCCCAGGCTGGCCTTAGACTTGGGATCCACCTGTCTCAGATGCCCAGGTTGCTACGATCATAAGCATGTGCCACCACAACCAGCAAATGTCCCCAAATTCTACAGAAAATTTATTTACAACCCAGAATTCTACACAAAAAACAAAGACATTTTCATTCAGACACAATCTCAAAAGCCAAACTGTCAGGTGGTCTCCGTGACACAGGAGAGAGGGGACAATGGCTGGAGCTGGGTGCAGAGATGACTGGATGACAGCTCTGAGGCACATGCAAAGGGCCACCAGCCCAGAGCGAACAGAGGTGACTCGAGGACACTGCATTGAGGGCTTCATCTCCTGCTTCTTGTACACATTCTATATTTAATTTTTATTGTAATTTAACAATTATATAGAAAATGGCACAGGTCATAAGTACAGAACTCTGTGAGTTTCCACAGTGAACATGCGGGTAACAAGTAGCCAGGTCAAGAGGCAGAACATTATTATAGCCTCAGGACCCCCTTCCAAACTGAGGGAGACATTTCTTTCCTGGCTTCTTCTGCCACAGATTTATTTTGCATGTTTTCGAATTTTTTACAAATGAAATCATATTTTGTATATTCTTTCATGCCTGACTTTTTCACCCAACTTTTTTTTTAGGTTTGTGAGATTCACCCATGTTCTCTCTGTGCTCCTTCTCATTGCTCTCTGAACCCCATCTCGCAAATCTATCACAGACATTCATTCCTACTGTTGCTGGACATTTGGGTTGTATCAAGCGTTTTGGATCTTTTTTTTTTTTAAAGAGAGAGTGAGAGAGGAGAGAGAGAGAGAGAATTTTTAATATTTATTTTTCAGTTCTCGGCAGACACAACATCTTTGTTGGTATGTGGTGCTGAGGATCGAACCTGGGCCACACGCACGCCAGGCGAGCGCGCTACCGTTTGAGCCATATCCCCAGCCCTGCGTTTTGGATCTTATAAAGCATTACCACTCTTGGACTTATTTTTGTGGAGGGCACCTAGAATTGAACTCAGAGGCACTTGACCACTGAGCCACATCCCCAGCCCTATTTTGTATTTTATTTAGAGACAGGGTCTCACTGAGTTGCTTAGAGCTTTGCTTTTGCTGAGGCTGGCTTTGAACACGAGATCCTCCTGTCTCAGCCTCCTGAGCAGCTGGGATTACAGGCCTGCACCACCGTGACTGATCTTGGACGTTTCTGAGTGAACACATGGACCCGTTTCTGTTAGAGTACACCTAGAAGTGGTTTGCTAGACATAAGCTGTGCAGTCGCAGTAAACGCCACAGGTATTCCAAAGCAGTGCACCAGGGTGACTTTTAAACAGGGAGCTAAATGCTTCAGAGAAAGAGCTCAGAACCAAGACCCGGAGAGGCGCCCCTCCTCCTCCCACACCTGCAGTGTGGACAGCTGTGGACAGTCTTTCCACCCCACAGAAGGGTTCTCACAAAATCAAATCCTGAGAACCAGAAGCAGACCAGCGAGCTTAAAGGCTGAAATACAAAGTGAAATGTTCTGTAGTCCATCCCAGCTACTAAGGAGGCAGAGGCAGGAGGATCACTTGAGCCCAGGAGTTCAAGACCAGCCTGGCCAACAGGGTGAGACTCTGCCTCAAAAAAAGAAAAAAAGAAAAAAAAAAAAGCCCAAATACCGAGAGCTCAGCACTGGCTTTCCCTGCCATATACCCATGTATACTATCGCTGGACAACTAGTACCTGGCTGACCTTTCCATCCTGCCACATGCCCTGCTTCCCAGGACTCTCTCCTGACCCTGCCTACTAATGTCCCCAGAGGGGATCAGTAAGTGCCCGGGAAAGCTGTGCCCCACTATTATCCAACCATCCATCCATGCCACCTTCTCCCAGTGCCCCCATCTAACCTGAGCACAACTCCACCTCCCTGCAGAGCAGGTCTGCGCCTGCTGCTCAGCACAGAGTCAGACGGCACAGGCAGGACTCAGGGATGGATGGAAAACCATAAAGACAAGCAGGAAATGATTCACACCAAAGTCAGGATGTGAACATCCATTTTGCAACAGCACTGTTCTCAGTAGCCAAAAGGAGAAAGAAACCCATGTGTCCATTGATGGATGAATGGATAAGCAAAATGAGGATTGTAAGGCTACATGGAATATGATAATCTAGCCTTTAAAAGGAAAGAAATTCTGATATATACCTGAATAATAACATGAATAAACCTTAAGGACATTATGGTAAGTGAGTAAGTAACAAGTAAGTGGTAAGTAACAAGCCAGTCACAAAAAACCCCAATACTATATGAAGTCCAAATCATGGGGACAGAGCACAGGATGATGGTTTCAGGGCCGGAGGAGAGGGGAAGAGGAGCTGTTGCTTAATGGGCACAGGGTCAGCATTATAAAGTGAAAAGAGCTGCTCATGGAGAGGACGGGGTGGCGACTTACCATCATGACTGTATCTAACACCACTCAATGTTTAAAGTGGTTAGGAAGGTAAATTTTATGTGACGTGTGTTTACCACAAGATTTAAAGGTAAGACAGTGTTTCCTTCTAGAGGAAAGGCCAGGGCACAACCGGAAGCACCAGGAGGTTAGAAGGCCTGAATCTGCTTCCCTGTCTGTGCACCCTGAGTCGCGCTCCGTTTTCAGGACTCACGGTAAGCAGCGGGAGGAGGGAAAGAGTTGAGAATAGGAGAAAAAGAAAACGACAGAAGGAGTCGCGGAGATGAATGAAGCAGGTCCTGCTAACTCGTTCAGGACTCCTCGCTAGAAGCAAACTCAGATTCCCCAGCTAACAGGGTCAAGGCTGACGCCCAAGGAAACAGAAGCTCCCCACCTGCTAAGGTCAGTCCCGAGGACCGCAGGCCCTGGCTGACCTCTGTCCACCTCTTACCCACCTGGTTGTGGCTATGACAGTCCAGGAGGTCGTTGCTGATGTACGCCTGCAGAACCGTCTCCCTCTGCTCCCCAGGATGGGATGTGGTCAAGCGCTGGAGGGAAGAAAAACAAAAGTAACAAGACCTAAGTGTTAACAGGAGAAAAACTCCCATACAGTAGCTATGGTTTAAATGGCAGTTAAAACTCCACCAGTGACGATACACTGAACCAAGCAAAATAAATACTAGCCAAGTGGGGAGGCTGGTTAGCCATCCAGCCAATCAATAAGGTGATGTAGGGGACAATGGAGTCAGCTTCATATGTGAAGTCTCCTGAGAGGGAAAGGGGCATGATGCCCAGGCCATCAGTGTGCAAATGAGAGAGCACCTGTCACCCTAGAGAGGCAAGAGTTGGCTCCGCAGGGTGAGTGGACTGTTAGCCAGCAGGGGAAGGCGAGTGGAGGGGTGGGGAAGCATGGCCCAACTCAAGGAGGTACAAACACAGGGCACAGCCGAGTGGCTCATGGGTGGGGCGCGGGGCTGACGGGAGGTCTTGGAACACACCCTAAGGGACCCATAGAGCCATACTCAGCGAGGTGTGAGCGTGCCTGGTGGGGAGCTGGCGGGACTTCTGTAGACTGCAAAGTCCACAGGTCTGTTGTGTCGCTCTAAGTAAGGGCTTACGTAGTGTCTGCAGGGAAGAAGAAGGTTTCACTTGGAGCACATGGAATGTGCTCGTGCACATGGGCGTGTGCGGTATGAGCGGGGAAGCGACAAAGCCGTGGAACTGGAGTGGGCAAATGTGCTTATTTTTCCAGGAAAACCTCACTAGATAAACATCCTGAGGCTGCAGGCCCTGCTTCTGGCTGGAGAGAACACCCTGGGCAAGGCCAGAAGGAACAGTGGCTGAGGGGAGAGCTGACAGGAAGAGGAGAACCGGGGAGGCAGGTGCCCACCATCACGGCGGGAAGGCCCTGCAGGAAGAGGGGCCTCTCCTGGAGGAGGAAGGTGCCGAGAAGGCCACACGGGGAGCTGCTGCCCCCTCTCAAGCTCACTGAGATTGAGGCACGGGCCAGGGGTGGGGCGGGCCCTGGAGGGGGACAGAGACAAAGTCGTTAAAAAGCCTGCTTATTTTTCCTGTGACAGTGTTCTTCTCTCAGCAGAGGAACGTCCTGTCTCAGCCAGAGGCTGGGGATAAGTGTGGGCTGAGAGGAAGTGCCAGGTGGCAAACCAAGAGCCAAATAGGAAGTGAGTCTGCTAAGCCGAGCAGAGGGCACGGCGGGGACAGCCCGGGAGACCCTCGAGTGGCCCACCCTTGGGGCCAACTGACCCCAGTGGAACCAGAGCAGACGCCATGGCCTGGCCACAGGACTCTCCCTGTGTCCTCAAGTCACCTTCCAGATGCACCACCGACCAGCAGGGAGCAGGACTGATTCGTCCCCAGGTGGGAAATTAGTCAAGATACTCTAAAATTAGGGGATCCATGAAAGGGCCTGCTGCAAATACAGGATGACCATGCAGAATGGTCATCCAGGTAGAGGGCCCGCCATCAAGGGGGGATGCCGGCAGTCCTCAAGTGAGTCCAGGGAACCCGGGGTACCCAAGCCCTTGGGACAGATTATTTTCACAATTCTACTACAATATGACCCCTATATTCATGATCAGTCTCTCAGGGCCTATATGAAGCGTGGCACTTGGCAAATAGAATGCCAGAGCAGATTCAAGAATCCAGCTGTCCTCTGTTGCTGACATGAAGAAACCTGCAAACATGTGAAACAATGCACCCTTCTCCCTGACTTTGTTGATTAGAAAGTTGTTGTTTTTAATAAAAATGTCATTTATGTTTAACATGTTCATTTGTTTATTGTTCACTTTACGTATTTTAAGTTTTCTCAGTTGTAATTTCCAATACTGTAAATATCAGTAGATAAAATTCACGTAAACAGCAGCTCTCCGCAGCCCTTAGTAACTTTTGAGTGTGTGGAGGGTGTGAGACTGAACCTGAGAACCCACGGCTGGTTCATGCTGCTGGGGACTGTGAGGATCCGAGGCCTCAGAGGAGGCTTCATTTCCCCTAAAGACTGGTCTTTGCCCTGGAGGCCGGCCCCGTGACATCTGAATACTGCAGTCTTGGGCCTCCCAGCAGGCCTGGCTGCGCTGGGAGCTGTGCCCGCAGCTCTCGCCCAGGACAGGCCTTGACTGCAGCTCGTCATCACGTCACAGCGTGAAGGCAACGGCAACTGAGATGCCAAAGCAGGGGGTCTTAGAAAGGCCAGAGCTGCCCTCAGGAGCGGCTCTGAACTCTGGTTCTTGGTGGCATCGGGCAGCGGGAAGCAAGATTTCCAGTAGAAGGTTACAAGATACAAGCATGGTAGCCAGCCAAGAAGAGCAGCACTAGGATGGCCTTTGTTTTTTGTTTTCTGACATCAAGGGAAAGGTACCTACCCAGCGCAGAGCCTGCAACAGGAAGGCTTTCAAGCGGTCGCTCCCCCAGATCAGATCCTTCTTGAGTTTCTCATAATCCAGGGAGGGCAGCAGCGGGACATCCTTCAGTTTCCTACTCAGCGTCAAGTTCAAAGACAAAAACAAGCGGGAAAGGACAGGTTCATGACACCTCCTGACCATCCACACACCTGCTCCGGACCTGATCAGCCAGAGGGACTAGCAGTGGCCCTGCTGCCCCCTCCAGACTCAGCCAATGTTATGGTTTCTCTAACTTCCTGAATAGGCTTAGAAGCCACTGCCTTTGCCTTAGGCCTGGTGGGGAGAAGTCACCCTGGAGGCTCCTAAATTTCCCATCCAAATTCTATTCAAAATTCCTGGCAAAGCCCTCAGACTATTAGCACCAGCAGTCCCTGAGGGGTCTATCTGCACACCCAAAGCCACTGTCCCTCTCAAGCCTGGCGAATGAGTACCATAGAACAGGGGCCAGGAAGCAACTTGTAAGGGAGCAGGGGCCAGATGGACCACTGTGGAGGTGGAGGACTGGGAGCGAGGGGCTGGGACACACAGTGAGAGGGACAATTTGCTTAGCCTGCCCAGAGGACCCCAAGTTTAAAGACCCCAGGGAAGCCAGGGGTCTGATTAGATCTCTGATTAAAGATCTGCCCAGCTTGGACGAACCCAAGACCTGCCCCCACTTAGCCAAAAACAGAAGGAACCAGTCCCTTCAGACTCCTTGTCCCGAAAACAAGTATCTCCACATTTTGGTTTATTGAACAAAAGGTTAGAGAGCAGGGAAAATAAAGAGAACTGAATGAGCCTGCGGTCTAGGTGACAGCACAGTGCCCAAACGACTTCCTCCTGTTGACCAGACACAGTCACCACTGGGGAAGTGGGGGGCTTCAGTTTCTGTGAATCTGTAATTAATTCAAAATAAAAACCTAAGCCAGGGTTGGTGGTACATGCCTGTAATCCCAGCAGCTTGGGAGGCTGAGGCAGGAGGATCACAAGTTCAAAGCCAGCCTCAGCAACACAGCAAGGCCCTAAAGCAACTTAGCAAGACCCTGTCTCAAAATAAAAAATAAAAAGGGCTGGGATATGACTCAGTGGTTCAATCCCTGGTACCAAATAAATAAATAAATACTAAAAGAAAAAAAGAAAAATATCTCCAGTATCAAGGGGGAAAAGGAGACACATAGTATTAAGTGGAGACACACAGAGTTTGGTGAGAACAGGGAAGATGCAGGGCTTCCCTTGTTCTGAGGGCGGAGGGGAATCAGTTCCAGGAGGAGGGAGCCTGGGCATGCTGGCTTCCTGTAATGAACTCGTGTTACTTACACAATGAAAAATGACATGCCAGCTTTTTCAGGATTAGCTTTTACTGGACAAAATGAGATTCTTGTAGAGGTTCCATGGAAAGGGCCAGAAGAGAAGGCAACAGCTGAGCTCTCAGTGAGCACCCACCAGGAAGCCCACAGAGCGCGCCGTGGCTGCTCCGATGCTGTTTTTGGAGGCATATACTATTTTGAATTTAAAAATCAACAGAGCTACTTTGAAAATTCCAATTGTAAATCACTAGGTCAGGATTTTTCAAAATTGTCAAGGCCATGAAAGACAGAGGAACGCCTCAAATTCAAAAAAACTAAGAAGACACTCTGGCAGCATGAGGTTCTGGCTCCAACCCTGGCTCAGGGAAGACACGGGGGAGCAACGGTACCTGCGAATGAGCCTGCAGACCTGGTGGGAGCTGCCTCAGTGCCCACTGCTGGGTGTCTATGAAAGCTACTCTGAATTCCAGTTTGACATCTAGCTGTCCTCATTAATAAGATTTCCCAAGAGCGATTACTTACACGGGTGCCAAGGAGGCTCGCAACATGGTGGAGGCCTGAGGGGAAGGGGACGGAGAAGAGAGACCATGTTAAGCACCGACAGCAACAGCTCTGGCTCAGACCCTGTCAACAGCACACAGCCAACATGCCTGCAGCGTTCTCCAGCCACAGTCACACATGACTTAAAGATCAGCCCACACCACTGCTGAGAGCTGCCCGCCAAGCCCCTGGCTAAGGTAAGTGCTGCAGTGGGTCCACCCAGACCCCAGAGGCCATAAAGCTGCCCAAAGACATCGTGAAGAATAAAGGCAAAGTGGGCCATTGGATGTTCTTAGTTTTTTCTCTCTCATGAGTTTCTCTTTAAGCACAAAAACAACACATGTACTGTGTGTCATTTCCCAGTCCTGAAAGAATCTGGCTTGGGACCCTTCCCCGCCTCCACGGTCTGCCACATGCAGGTCCACCCCGAGATCCGCTCCGGCCCTTGAGCAGCGTGCTGCTCACCAGGATCCACTGAGGGACGCGGGATCTCAGGAGCACAGTGTGTCACAAAGCCTTCCAGGAAACCCAGGCACCAGAAGTTTTAAACCCTGATTCTTGCGATCAAATCAGAAAGGTTTCAGACATGTTGTTCTGAGTGACAGGGATGAGTTGATTAGAAGGGCTAGGAAAAGGGAAAGGGGGTTCTCTCAAGGCAGAGAGTGGGTCCTCTCAGAGAGGAGAGGTGGGCGTGCCTCTCCCGCCCTCCAGCTTCTTGTTTTGTTTTTGGCACTGAGGATCAAACTCTGGGGTCCTTGACCACGGAGCCACACCCTCAGCCCTTTTTGTATTTTATTTAGAGACAGGGTCTCACTGAGTTGCTTAGTGCCTCAACGTTGCTGAGGCTGGCTTTGAACTCACAATCCTCCTGTCTCAGCCTCCCAAGCCCCTGGGATTACAGGCACCTGCCTCTGCATCTGGCCTGCCCTCCAGATTTATTGGGGGTCCCAGGGAAGTTTCCAGAGAGCCCGGCCCAGGTCCACCTCTTGATCTTTGACTCACAACAGGATGATATCAAAGTTCCAAGTGCCCACTGCCATGACTTTGGCCTGGGCCACCAGCTCTAACTGGAACCTGTTCTTCAGATGTTCCGGGAAGGAGAAATTAATTCTTATCTCCCTGAGTTCGGGATCTGGTCTGGGTAAAGGTCACAGAAGTTCCCGCTTCAGGGTAACTGTGTTCTTATCAGCATTTCAAGGCCTGCATTTCTCCTGCAGATGTCAGGTAGTGCTGAGGAATCTGACATATCCTGTGGATCATATCTTGTGGACTTAGGTCAGGCAGGGCTTCAGGTAAACAGTTTCTCAAAAGTGAAATGGAGTCAGCACAGCGGGCCCAACCTCAAGTTCCTACCACTTGCACCTGACCGTCCCCTATCAAGCAGACCTCTGGAACAAGCACCTGCATCTCAGCCTGGCCCCTGGGGACTTGTCTGCACTTGGGTTTGAGCATCTGACTCTGGTCCATAAGTCATGCATTGCTAAGCCAGCAACGCCCTGCTCTGGTGAGCCCCATTATGGGAGTGCATATCAGGGAGGGCAAATCCTCTTCCCGTCCTTCATTTTCCACACTTTTGGCTCATCTTAGATATTCATCTACAGAATTAGCTTTGGACAGGAACCAAAGTGTTTTCCTGTTCATGGGTTTGTTTGAAAGAAAATGGAATTTCCATCCGCCGTGGAGCCTTTCCCAAGGGGCAGGCCGTGGTCCTTATTCTCTCTGTGTCCCCACGGCTCTTGAACAGGACACCAGTCATTTTTAACCACACTGAACTGTGATTATTTCACAAATATTTGTGTCTTTCTCCTTCAGCAGACAATAAATTCTGAAAAGACTGGAAACATGTCACCCTCCTGTCCTCAGCATCTGCTACAGTGCCTAGGCGGACGGAGTCACTGATTCAACTTCTGTTGAAATGAAGGAAGACGGACCCCCAAGAGGCCTACTCCAGGGTCCTCCAGTGCCTAGGAAGAAGCCCTGGTGATGACGACTCTGTCACTGATTGCTTCCCTCTGGCAGGTTTACAGATGTGCAGATTCCCACCTTGTGGACATCTGACCCTACTTTTCAATGGTTCATGACTATGTATGTTCCCATATTTTTTAGTCCTTGGGTTGTATTAATTAGTAAACGGCTTATTCCTGTTACTGGCTTAGTGAAGAGTTCAGAAAATAAGTTGGAAATGGTATCTAAATTACTCATGCAATACATTAAAGAGGCCAAGAAGCTGACAGTGGGTCAACTGGGTCAAATAAGGACATGGCCACACTAAAATATCAGCATAATACAGATAAAAATTAAGAATTAGAAGGGCTGGGGTTGTAGCTCAGCGGTAGAGCACTCGCCTGGCGTGTGTGAGGCACTGGGTTCAATCCTCAGCACCACATAAAAATAAAATACAGATATTGTGTCCACCTATAACTAAAAAATCAATATTAAAAAAAGAATTAGCAATGCTGGCTAATTCCTATTTTCCCAATAAAATTCAGCACTGCCTTTTTTTCATAGCTATAGGAAGTTTTCCGTTATTTAAAAACCAACCCCTCTTGGCTAAACTCTATCAATCAATTTGCCTCATGAAGAAAGTAGTTGACAAGTAGGAATCACGGCCCCTGAGGAGTGGAAACAACAGGTAAGTGAAACCCCACTGGGACTTCAGCATCGAATCAGGGAAAGAAGAAAGCCAGGGATGAGCTGCGGAAAAGGGCTCGGCACTCTGCCCAGGAGAGAGTGGGAGGCCACGGCGTCTCACGCATTCAGCCAGCACCTACTGATGACACCATCTGCCAGGTCACTGCTAGGCCCTTGGTCACACAGGGGTGAACAAATCAAGTGCCTTTCTCAAGAACTCCTGGTCCAGTGGGGGACACATGGCCAAACAACCCCCCTTGCCTCAGTGTCCTCACCTGCAAGATGGTGGTCCTCACAGTGAGCTAATTCCGGCCTGCTCAGTCTCCACCCCCAGCCCCACAGACCAGGTCCCTGTGGTTCTGTGGTGAATTTCCCTCACACCCAGGACTTTCTCTCCAGTCCCCACACCGGGCCTTCCTTTGGCACCGCCTCTCTTCTGAGCACAGACGGCCATGGTAAGAGTTCCTTGACCACCAGTGGGCATCTCATGGGCATTAGCTCATTTCCTGCACTGTTGTGGAGATGAAGCACCCTGCCCTAGGCCAAGAGTCCAACCAGGAGTCGGGTCCCAGAGCCCACGCTGGCTCGGCCCACTCCCCCGCCACGCTCTTCCTCCGGCCCTCCGACCTGCTTGGCCAAGGGGAGCTTTAACAAAGCCACCTCACCCCCATCTCCTCAGTCTCACCTCTGGCACAGCTCTGTGCCATCCCCCTTCTTCATCCTTCAAACTCAGTTCCAGCCATTGTGCTCAGTGAGATGGTTCCCAGCACTGCCCTCTACCCTCACTTCCTGGAGCTCTGACAAACACGGATTTTTTTTTTTTTTTTAATATTTACTTTTCAGTTTTCGGTGGACACAACATCTTTATTTTATGTGGTGCTGAGGATGGAATCCAGCCCTGCGCATGCCAGGCAAGCGTGCTACCGCTTGAGCCACATCCCAGCCCAAACACCAATTTTTTTGCCTGGTACTGCTGTGTTCTCCACAGAGCATAAGGAATGTTTTCCATGTTCCCATGAGAAGTGGGCTCCATGTTTCTACTTTCCCTCCAGTGGTCCTCAACAGGGAGTCACCTTGTCCCAGAGGACATTTGGCAACACGGGGAAACATCTTTTGGTTGCCCAAACTAGGTGCTATTGGCATCCCCTGGGTAGAGGCAGGAGGTGCTATTACCCTCCCATCCACACACAGAACAATCCAGTGCTGGAGTCCAAAAGCCCTGCTCTAGACAAGGGCTTTTTGTTTTGTTAACAAAGCAGATACTCAGATCTCTTCTGAAATGAATTGAGTTTCTCAAGGATTTGCCATCATATTTATGATACGTAGGAGGTGTCCACCTAGAAAGGCCAGGTAGGACCACATGTGGATAGGGGCCACAGGGACAGCAGAGCAAGTCAGCACAGCCACCTTCCCCAGCCCGATGACACTGAACTCCTCCCTCTGACACAGCTGCTCCAGTTGGTAAGTAAGTACTGAATTCTAATTTAAATGACAAACTTGAATTGACCTAGACATTGACCCCTGGGCATAAACTTGCTTAATGATGGGGTACACAGCAGGCCATAGCTCTGCGTCCTCCTCCTGGGTAGAAGTCTTAATAATAACACAAAAGCACTGAGGAGGCTGCTTGAGGTTCTGTGGAGCACTTTTCACTGAGTGCTGGATTTCTAGAGGTCTACATGTGCAGGTTCTTGAGCAGCATGTGACAAGAGCCGCTGCTGGCTGCACTCAGGAGTCACTGCCACCAACTGTGAGCACTGCAGCACTTGCACAGTGTGGGGACAGTTCCAACAGGTAGGCAGCAGCCCCAGCAGGAGAAAGATGACAGATCCAAACATCAGCAACCACAGAATAATTCCCCTAACGGAGCTCACAATAGGTTCCCGACACAGGAGGAACAAGTTTCAGAGAGAACTCCCTTGCTGAGAAGTAGGTTCTGGGGCCCAACTCCAGGCCAGGTGGCTCTTTATGATCTCTAGGTTTTTATGCTGAGAGCACAGAGAATGGCCACTGTAGCCAGTGACCCCTCTAGGAAGCCTGGCAGGAACGCTGGGGCAACCTTTTCAGGGCCCAGGTGTCGAACAGGGGGTAAGTAATGTGTTAACGCATCAGCTATTCCCTGAGCACCTTCACTGAACCACTTCACGGCAAGGCTCTTGGAACCGTGGGCCTGGGAGACAAACGTCCCTAAGCCAAGGTAGAATGGCAGTGTAACAGGGGTCCAAGTTATGCTTACACAGCCCTTGCTGCTTTGCCACTGCAACTTATTTTTAAAATGGACACATTTCTTTCTCTTCCTCCTCTCTCTCCTCCTCCCTAATCTCAGGGCAATCAGGATTACTTTCTTCCCCATTTTAGGCAGAGTATCTGTCCTTCAGTGTGCACC